AGTGTTTAAGGGCTCAGCTGGGCGCCCCCCCCCCCCCACACACACAGGGGCTGGAAGAAATGTTTAAAGTGAGTTTTTGAAGTAAAAGACAGACTGGTGTGGTGTGGTGCTACAAACGGCTTGTTTCTTACCGTCTGGTTGGTTTTCAGTGTTACTGCGATTATCTGCAGTGTACCTCCATCACGGTGTTGTTTATAGTTAGGGGACACTAGATGAAATAATGCAAGTCCTGTTATCCTTTTTGCTTTTTTAAAAAAACTTTTTTTTTTCTTTTTCTGAGACAGGTTCTCATGTAACCCAGGATGGCCTCAAACTCACTATGAGCAGAGGATGATACTGAACTCCTGATCCCTCTGCCTCCACCTCCCTCCCAATTCCTGGGATTATAGGCATGTGCCCCCCATGTGCACTGTCATTGTTAATATAAGTCTAGTTTTCTTTATTTTTTTTAATCCACCAAGCAGCAATGTAATGTTGCATTCATTTTTCTTCTGGTGGTTGGGAAACAACAAAAATATTTTAAATAACAAGAAAAGTTTTTTGTTGTTGACGCTAAAGAAAACTTGATTACCTTTCTGTAGTGTTCGCCTAAGAGAACTTCTGTGGTTCCCTTTGAAAAGGAACATGAACAAGAGGAGGGAACCTTGGAGTTTGATGGAACACTTTGCAACAAAAACTAGTCCTTCAGTTTCTTTTTTCCGTTTTCATGATTTCCAGCTTCTGCTTCTGTTTTTGAAAGCCAGTGGTGGCTGCTAGCTTGGGGTGAGGTCCTTGATCCCTTTTTGAGCTCTCTCCTTGCTTTCCTTCCTTCTTCTCATAGAGCACAGGCTTCCAACACCTGCTGAGGTGAAGAGCAATGGACCAGGGTACAGGTGAGTATTCCATTGACAGAGACTGACCGGGAAGCCACCTGGAAGCCCTGGCAGACACCGGAATTGGGGACGGTCCTCTCTGGGACTCCCCTGGCTTCTGCTTCTGAAATACACAAATATTTATCCTCACTGCTGAGTGCATGTAGCTGTTCACTTATTCTGAAGGTTTATTTATCTATTTATTTACTTTTAATTTATTTATCACAGGTGGTGTTTGAAACACAGGACATAACAAAGCATACGATGTCCCTTAAGGACCTAACAGTCTAGTGAAATGGACAATTAGATCATGCAGTACAAAATGTATCCTGACTAAATTCTTTTGGAACACCAACGGTGGCACTCAGTGGTTACTAGGGCCCAGGAAGCTTCATGAATACAGAGATGGGGATGGAAAAGAACATAGAGCAAAAGGAGGAATTTTCTTCTCCAACATGGCAGGGGCTCTTAAAAAGATCTCTCAAAAGAAAAGGAAAAAAACTACCCAAAGACTAAGAGTAAATTGCAATGCCCAGAGCTCTGATGGGTATTTCCAGGTGTGACTCCCACTTAAAGATACAGCACTTCTGTCCCAGGTTTATATAAACTCAGAGAGGACCACTCACCTGGGGTTGGAGAAAGCAAAGGCTGACAGTTGAGTGACAGGAGCCTGAGGCCAAGCTTTTTGGCTTGGTTGATTTGCAGTTACTAGTCTTCTCCATCCCTCAATTTCCTTTTCTTGCAACATGGGAAAGATAGTCACTATTACTATAACAATATCTTGTTCAGAAATACTCGAGTTCTAGATGAGTCAGCACGTGCTAAACTGATTTCAGTGGCTACTCAGCAGATTCTAAGCACTTAGTAAGGGACTGATATTTTTCAGCATTCCATTTCTAAGTGATGGGCTGAGATATAAATTGTGTCATTTGTCCCTACCATCTCCTTCTGTTTTCCAATCACCTTTCAAGTCAGCCTGGCCCTTCCTCTGACTTCTTCCTGTGTGCTCATCCCAGCGCCTTTTCCTGAGGCCCTCACACTTGCCCTGCTTGGTGGTGCCTATTAAGACTCTTAAAAGGTCTAATAGACAACAGGTAAAGAAGAAAGCAATGTCTGGAAGAAGTTCCCAGGTCCTCAGTTGGGGATAACCTGGAATAAGTTGCAAGTACATCAGTTCTTTTTCTGAGAAGAGCTAGAAGATCTGTAGTGAGAACCAAGAGTGGCTTACTTCAAGGGCAGCAAAGACATACTTAGACTAAGTTTTCAAGTATTTTTTTTCACCAGCTCTTACATAATCTTTTCCTTCTACCCTGATGATATCAGTGGGCTCAGTATTCTAGACTCCTTGTTTACCTGTTTCTTTTTCTGTGTTTTTGGCAACAAAATATTGGTGCTTCCTAGTAAGACCCTGCACAGGACTTTCACTGGTCAGTACTTCGAAGGTGTCTTCAGCATTAGAGTGCAATGTCTTCTTTATGCTGATGACTCCAAATATTTA